GGGATTGTTTCTTCGTCTACCTCACTTCATATCACGCAGGGCAGATCCTCAGAATAAGGTTCGCGAATATTCCATCCGCAATAATATCTTTAAACACTATTCTTTTTCCTTAACACACATCAATAGAACTGTCTACCCCAGTCGCTTGTCATGATATCATACAACAATGTGTTTTTTCCAGACTTATTGACGACTGCTTGTACCTTATCTCCTGATATGTAAAATGTGTTAATAATTGTATAAAGCTGACTGTTCTTGTTGTTCTTGCCCCTAGCAAATTTTATATCACAAACCTAGAGTCCGTTTATTTTGCTTCTCTCGCTGTATGCCCCCCCCCCCTTTTTTTTCTGTAATGCCTTTGGGCGTTGAAGGGTATATTGAATAAATAAATAAATAAATAAATATTGGCATGACGCGACGATCGCGCCATCTGGAACAAGCTTCAGCAACCATCACTTCCATTCGTTCCAGGTGGCTGTTGCATTAGGTGTCAACATGTGCGTACGTGAAGCTTGATGAAACTCAGCATGTTCGCTGACTTCGACAAAGCTTTTTGGGAGTTCCAAGTTTATAACAATATACTTTTTGTATCAATAGCGACAGAAACTTTCGCGGCTGGTGCTCGCGTCCCGGCGCAACGATTCCACTCATGCGGACGGCTTGCGCACGAAGGGGCAATACGGTGTGCGCTTCCTGGCCGGCTTTGGCTATGGTCCGTAGTAGGTTGAAACAAAATACCCTGCTTTAATTCTAATCTAGTTTTTTTTTTCTTTTTTTTTCTGTGAGGCTGACAATAGATTTACTCGCTTACGGACTTTCGCCTTTCTGCTTCACCATACACGGATTTCGCGAGATGCTTGTGCAACTAAGAATGCAAGCGGAAAATGAACAACAAGAGACGGAAGCTTATACAACTGAGTGATGCCCTCGGCACAGCTGGATCGCCCCTTGATGAGCCCTCGCTTTCGCTGCCGAAATCATTTTGACCCGTTTAGTTCCGGCTTTAAACAACAGAGCGAGTTGCAAATTACTTTTTTCGTCATAGACACGAGCCTAGCCGAGAATACAAGAGCGATGAAACCAGACACTTTAGTGCGTACCACGGAGGTGCGTTTATCCAGTGAAAGCATTATACATAGATGTATTATAATGTACAGACTCCTGCAATATGAAACACCCAGTGAGAGCGCGTGGCCGAAACGGCGGCGGGTGGAGCGCTGCGGGCGCTCCGGACGATTCTATTCTGACTTGAGGGTAGGACACTCATTCGTGACCCAACCGAGCATGGCGGGCATGAACGAGCTTAAGAGTTTTTGGTTTTGGTTTAACGGAAGAGCCCGCTTTATCGGTCTCAAATCAAAAGATATGGTCAAGAAGGCTCTAAATATGTATAAACGTCACTGCTTTCTTATCGGTTGTTTTAAGTGTAAAATGACAGAACGGGCACTGCCAAATAAACGAATGTTACAGTTATACTTGAGTCCAATATTTAATAGATAAAGTGCGTCAAAAGGAGCATTCGTTTGGGAGAAGGATCGCACGGATCTCGCACTTTAACAGACAGAAGAGTCACAGGGTCTCTTATGATATCTCTAAGACGACTTGAAGGCGAAAGCCCAAGCGCCGATGTGAACGTGATAGCGAATCTCCGAAGACAGCGCGCTCTCTGACGACGCACTTTTGGCGCTGTTTCATTGGCTCACTCGGATTGTGACGTCGGCTATGGTCCCGGTGGTAGCGGACCTCTGAACACCACGCCCTCTCTCACGACGCACTTTTGGCGCCGTCTATTGGTACCTTTCGTTTTGGTACCTTTCGTGTCGCCAACAAATTTCTGCACGTTTCGTGTCGTCGACATGCTTTCGCTGAAGGACTTTGAAGGTCAACGGAACGATGAGGCATATAGGGCTTTCGATTTACTAATCGCCTAGGCTCAGGCAGGTCTCTCTGGCAGCAACTTTGGCGTTAGAAGGACATAGCCGTGCATGACTGACGAAACTGCTCTTTATCGCGAAACTGAGACTAGAAAATGATCCGCGCGCGTTACGCTCTGAGACCATCTTGAAGAAGCAAGCTCCTTATCGTTTGAGATAGTCTCTGTGTACAATCTACGCTCTCTACGTGCCAAAAGCCACTTGCGTACGAGTCGCACGACGTCGTGCGAATTGCGTTAATCTTCAGGGTAGAGTTTAATAAACAAACAGGCTGTTTTTTAACGCGATATCGTTTAGGAGCTCGTGTCGCAGAAAATCCGGCGTCGGCATCGGTACGACCAAAAAATCCCATACTGCAACGCGTGCATCCGCTTGTGACGTCACACGTGGCTCTGACGTCATGTTTTCCCACCAAATATAGCGAAATATGTTTCCGACAAATATAGCGGGAAATGTTCCCGCCAATTTAGCAAAGATTTTCCCGCCAAATTTAGCAAAAAGATATCCCGTAAAGTTTAGACAATTTTCACGCAAAATTTAGCGGAAAATGTTTCGACCAATTTAGCGGCAATATTTCCCGCCAAGTTTAGCGGGAAATGTTCGGCTAAATTTAGTGGGTCGATAGGGTCATGAAGTCAAAGCCACGTGTGACGTCATGGGTCACGTGACTTATGACGCTACCAACTAGGCCAGGCACACAAGCTTGCACGGCTTGGGAACCAGCTCGGGTTTATATGAGAAGGCTTTGCGAACGGGGCCCGATAACGCTATCGCGTTCCAGCCTTAAAGGCAAAACCGAGGTTGAGCAGTTTCGCGTGGCTCCTGGAGGGCCGTGCTGGGCATGCGCGAGGAGCAGTGACGCCACACGGCGCACAGCTGGCGCGCCGGAGCGGCGCCGCCGCGCGCGTCTCCCCGGTCTGCGCATTCCAGAGAAGTGATGTCATAGCCGCGGCAGACGCGGCTGTGCGCCTCCGTTGCGCAGTATCAAGTCTGACGCTGCACCGGAGCCGCTTGATAGCGCCTCTCATTTTGTGCGCATGCGCAGAAGCATCAGTGGGTGTATACATATAGCGGGGCGTTTGCCAGTGTGGTATAGCCATGGAGAAGAAGCGGCAAGTGAACTGTGAGTGGTGGCTGGTGACTTCAATCGTGCTCCAGACTCTCTTGGTGTTCCTTTGAAGGGCACGTTTAACCTGGGCTTAGCCGGTGTTCCAACTGTACAGACGACCCAATGGGGTATCATTTGCGACTTGGGCCGATAAGAACTTGGAAGAAAAAATTACGAAGCAAGGAGTGTGAGCGTAATAAATCACGCCATGTGCTCTTAAGCTCTTAATGCATACGCTTGAACTTTCACTCCTTTGTATACGGGGTGTTTCTTTTTAATCCTAACAGATTCGTTTAAAAAAGGGTGCTGTGAAAGCTAGGCTAATGCGGTTTATGAGGGTGAGTTATTCGACCAGTGGGACATCGTACAGCGGCTAATCGCCACGAGAAGTCGAATAATTAACTAAAGTAGACGTATGGTCCCAATTAGAAACTAGAAAAATTAGAAACGTCGTCCAAAAAAATTAGGTTAGTCATATTTAGAAAGATTCTGAGCCCCTGGGAAGAGCGCTCAAAAACTAAGGCTTCAATGTGAGAAAATGCGGATGATAAGATACGGCAAAACCGCCAGGGCGCACTTTATCGCAGCGGTAGTCTCGCTCCTGCTGCGCGAGCGATAACTTTGGCGCCCCACCGTGCTTCCCACGTGCTCCAAGTCTTTCTAATATCAACTGATTTAGTGGTTTTTCTATGACGCTCAGCAAGTTTTTCATTGCAATCGTACGTTTATTTTCAATATTTTAAACGCTAATTAACATATTGTAGTTCAAGGGAAAATGAAGCTGTTCTGTATTTGAGGAAAAGTACCTAAATCGTCTTCATTTGTCCTGCAGAATCACAAGTATCAAGAGTATGTTTTTCAATTTTCTGCGCGGAGGCTGCAGAAAATAATTTTCAAAGTACCATTGAAGCCCCTCCTTCCCGGGGCGTGACGTCACACTAGGAGTTTTCGGAATCGCTGCTCTGGCACATCTTCAGCGCCTGTCAAAGCTGTGCGCGCTCACTCTTGCTATTTCCAGAGAGATCAGAAAGAGACGTCACGACAGGTGTCAGTGCAGGGGAATATAGCAGGCAAGCTTAAAATCGCACGCGCTGCCCACACGAGCGACACGCGCCTGGCGCCAAGGATCCCAGTATGACGTCACGCCTAATCGGAATTTTTTTTTGCGTTTTCTCGCGTTTAGTTTAATGTTCGAGGAAAGCGAACGCGATATTTAAATTCACGGGATAAAAATACGCCAGAATTCACCTCGAAGTCGTTCTTCTCTAAAAGTGTTTTAGCCTCTTTTTAATTAGCCGACTTATCGTTACGATTAGCCCCAGTTGCGTCGACTATGTTGCGCTGCGATGCGCCGTCCAGCATAACGCCTCCCCATCGGCTCGTCGTAAGTGTCGCCGTTGCAACAGCTCGACGCAAGCAGCTCTAACGAGGTGCAAGTGGCTGCAGTCGCACTCGAACAAAATTGTGTGAAATACTCCTTAAAAAAATTAGGGTGTTGGTATTTTTATACGGCCTCGACTTAGTCTGCCTCAACGGGCGGCTTGTCTCTCAGCTGCAGATGACCAATTCCGCCAGTGCGGGGTCATTAACGTGTACCACGCAGTAGCGATACACGACCGCACGCCGCGAAACGGGCAGGGGTGGGGATTGAACCCAGGATCCCTGGGTTCCGTAGCGCGAGCTTTCGCTCCGCGTGCTCTGAGCTGGTGTGCGCTAGCCCACTCGGCCACCGATCCCCCAACGATTTTTACCTCACCTGCAAAAACCGCAATCGTGCAGCTTTAACATTTTTTTTTTATCTGTCAAGCTTTAAAAACAAAAAAAAAAAACACATTATATCGACGGCTTCTGCCGCAAACCTGCTAGAAACGCTCCAGTTTGTCGATTACATCATCAAAGCCGGCTCGTTACGATTATCAGCGCACAGTAGAGATTAGTAAAAATAAATATGACTGTACCTGTGATCACGCCCAGTCCAATGATCATGGCCGTTACATTGTAGAACACGACACAGAACAGAATGCCGGAAGCCGCCAGCACGCTTCCTGCGATGGCGACAGTCCGCACCGGGAAACACTTGACCAGGGCGCCCCAGACGAGCCCTGTGGAGGAAGGCGATTCATACGTGTAATTTGGGTGCCCATGTTAACCTTGCGATCGAGCAACCTATACAGGGTGTGCGGAGGTAAAGAAAAACAAATAACGACCGAACTTCCGTGTGGAGTATGTTAGTTCCGTTTGAATACTGTTTATGCTAGCGTTTGAGGACACTCAGTGAGTAGCGCGTACTATAAAAGTCTCACCTCCGATGCTAAGTATGTGCCAGACTTGTGCCCGTCACTTGAAAACCGTAATGGGTTATAATTACAAACTACCAAGCCTCAAATGTAATGAATTACCATTATGAATTACTTTAGTTGAAAAGTATCTGATTACTTTACTCGTTACGTTACGTATTGCATTCACGTCACTTTTCCCTTATAGTTGTCAAAAAAATAATTGAAACAATTTTCATTTTTGAGAAATATATTACAACACTTTTAATTTCTCATACGCCCGCATTCTCGTAGTAACCGTAAAAATAAAATATTCTATTTCAGAGAAAGAGTGTAGGTTCATTCCTTTCATTTGTAAGCTAAGAAGGCAGCGAAAGCTGCAACCATGCCCGCCATCCCGTTAGCTTACGGTGACGAAATGATCCCTGGCATTCTGCAGACAAAGCTAGCGGTGCGCATGCTCAGTAGCAGCGACTATCTCCACTATCTCCGAAAAACAGAAATCACGAACACAAAACCAAGCAGGCGTTGTCTTCTTGATCCTGTTTGTCGCTTATTTGTATAAGCCTTGCACGTTTTTCTAGTGGTTTTAGTGACCAGTCATATAAAAATAATCCTGCTATTTTTTTTCGTTATTTTCCTTTTCACAATGTTTTATAATTTGTCGAACTTGCTATCCTGATGTTGCTGAATTGGCTGCAAATATTGCTCAAGTTCTGTATTATGTTCGTATTTTTAAAAAGTAACGAGTACTTAAAGTAATCCGTTAACAATATTTGGTAACGAAATGGTGTTTTCGTTAAAAAGTTATCTCACGAGGATCGCAACTTTTTGCAGAATGCAGTAAATGTTACCTGATTAGCATGAACAGCCGAGGGAAAGGGATATGGGGGAAGAAAGTAGTTTCTGAAATCTAAGTAGCTATTCGCCTCGAGATCGAACCGTGTCGCCACCATGCGGCCGAAATTGGAAACGCGCGAAAGCGGGGATACCGCCGTGCGTCGTCCGCTACGGGCGCACGTTCAGAAGCATGGATCTCGACGACACAAGCCCGTTTCATGCTGAGCTTGACATTCCTTATTAAATGTTTTGTTTTTATTGCCGTTTCTTCTTACTAAAGGTTGTGTTGTATCGTTCCCCGTGCGTAGAAATTCAGCAAAGCGATTATTATTAAGTCGGAAGCTTTCATAATCTTAGTGTGTTGGTTTGTATACAATCGCTGGTTCCACGTATTTTTGTTATCTCGCACAAACCGCGGCATTCATAAAGCATTGAATGTTGAGTGGGTCTGTGGTTTGATTAGAAAATTAACCCGACTGATCGCTATCCTTTAATAGACTAATCAATCAATAAATCTGTATGTTGATTTTTCTCCGGTCATATTGCGTGAAAGACGTTAAAAATAGACATTTTTTTTACTGCTTTTACTATGTCATAAATGGCATATTGCATTCCCATTCTAAACTCCACGTTGTGAGTCCTACATAAATATGAACACGGGAAGCCTTTTAAAATGAAGTAGTTTTTAAAGTTTTTATTTAAACGGTATAATCACCTTATACAATCTTGTGCGCAACAAAGGCGAGGACAAAAGCAGAGAAGAGGACACAACAAGGCCTTGTTGTGTCCTCTTTTCTGCTTTTGCCCTCGTCTTTGTTGCGCACAAGATTGTATAAGATGTCAAACCAACTCGCCCAAACAACCACTCTTCTAGTATAATCACCCTCGGTGAAATGACAAGCACGCTGAAGTGGTTTACCGTGCAAGCCAGTGTCGCAAAAGAAATAAAGACGTCAAAACTATTAAAGCAGGCATTTTTTACTCCTTGTTGACTTTCTCCAGCACAAGCCTCCAATTAACCGGCAAAAAAATGCAATTAAAGCATTACTTGAATAATCTGAAAGTTAATCTATGAACTGCCACGTTAGGTGAGGGCGGAGGGTGATCGGAAGGTCTCTTGAAGGTCGCTAGCCCTCATCAGTAAAAGAGTATCACTGCAGCCGATGCTGTCTGCGTCGTGGTGCGCGTCGTTTGTTGGGGCTGCAGAGTCTACTGTGTTTGAATAGAAGATTATTTAGCCAGAAGTTTATAGTATTAGTCTCTTGACATCCGCGGCCCTCACCAAGAAAATTGAAGCGGGTGAACCCACACTACCGAGAAAAGCATTTAATAACAGCAAAATTGCTGCGTTGCTCGGTTATACCTGTTTATGACAGTCACGGAAGATGTATCAGAACAGTTTGTTTCACTTGTTTCAGATGTCCTGCCAACCGTGCAGTTTGCAGATCTTAACTAGAAGAGACACTCTCTCCTCATCGCAACGCAGTAGATTTGTTCAGACTCCAAAAAACGTACCCACCCTATGGCACAGTAAAAGGGCAGAGGAACTCAATAGCATGGTAATTTCCAATACAGCGCTAACTTATCTTCGTTTTAAATATTTATATTACTGCAAAGGCTAGGAGTTAAAAAAAGCATAGAAGCTGCGATTTCACAGCCCACAGTACCAGTATTATGTTATCTGGGTTGGAATTTATTGTTTTATTTATTGCCACGTTGATGAACCGATACATCAATTTTAAAAGAAACAAATATTTAACATAAATACTCCAGTTCAGCCGGAGACAGGCATCATTCCTGGTGATCCATGCTTTCCAACGTCTGCCTAGAGCAGACGACGCACCCACAGAAGCGATTATATAAATTTAGGCCGCACGCTGGCAGCACGATTCGATCTTCACTGAAGCACCGAAGAGTACCGCATCCTTTTCCACTAGAATTGTTTTCCCACCGATAGTATGCGACAAAATAAACGCAAGAATCTACGCCGTCTCGCGCGCGAACATGGAGAGCCCATGGGGCGGCCGTTCTCCTATCCCCGCTTTGATGATGATGATAGCGCGACCGTAGCGCCACCTCTAGGTCGATCTCGAGGCCAATTCCGTCAAATTCAATTAAAACGCGATGGCACTTGACGGCGTTTGTAACGAGAATTATTACTTGCTATCAGAATATTGGGCAATGCGACAGGTGGCTAAAAAATAATGAATGCATGAAGGACTTGGTTTCTTCTATGTTCATGTACCTCTTCCTTGAAGGTATAGCATCATATTACTGAAATGCCACCCCACATTCAATTTGATTGCGAAATGTCTCTGCACCAGTTAGATTATTCTACAAACACGCAGTTTCTACCCAACTTCCTACGAAGCCAAGGAGGCGCAGGATAGGATAGGGGTGTTAACACACCGCCTATCTTTCCTCCTTCGGCACGGCGCTCCAACATTGCTCTCGCTCGTCGTAACATCCCACCGATTTGGCCTCGTTCTGTCGCTTACACTCGCTCCCACGGCCTTGTTCTGGTGCGACCAAAACTAGCACGAGCAAGCAAAATTCGTATGGGCTTACCACATAAAGCTATCGCTTTCGAAGACGTCCTGTTGACGCGCTCGTACGGACGTCGGGCTGACGTATTTGAGGCGTTAGCCCGACACCTCACCGGGATGTTCAGGGATATGAATATACAGAAACCGTGCCCATAGCTAAAATGGGAGAATAGGCGAAATGACATAAGAAGAAGGTCCATGTACCTACGAGCTGTGATACAGTTCCCAGAAGACTGAAGGGCCACGACGCCAGCTCCCGCGAAGCACCCATCTCGGAGATCATGGTTATGAAGACGATTCCTCCGCAGCAGTTGATGATGAGTGTCCAGAAAAAGCACCAGCTACACACCAGGGCCATGATCCAGCTCCATCGCGAGTCTTGGTAAGGAAGCGACTGTTCTTCCCTTTTGTCGGCACCCATCACTGCTCAGCACTCAGCGTCGTACGTGCGCTTTGGGCTCATCGCAACGAGCCTTGGATAGCCTGTTAAAAGCAATCGAAATATTTTGTATTTTAGGCATTATTTTTGCTTATTTAATGTTTATTTATATTTGTTTAATTAAATCATTTTATTTATTCAGTTATGCTCATTAAGAGCAACATGCCTTCCGGCTGGTACATCACAACATAGACGAAAAAAGAAAACAAATTAGCACACACATAAAACACTGACGTTATGCAAAAAAAAAAAGTAGAGCCAAAAATAAATATAGCAAGTGAACAAGAAGGTATCGTAACAACTGCAAGTCATACAATGTCTCTCAGTTTAATTTTCATGATGAAAACACTGCACTCTTGGATTGGGGAAAGGGGGGGGGGGAGTGTATTAAAACATATTGGATCGTTCGATGCCTTGCACATTTGTCTGTCTGTGCTAATACTGGTCCGACTTCGAAGCGGGTTTCTTTTAAAACAACGCATCATACGCAGTGTTTCTATCGGTATTATTGATAACAACTTACTACATCTAACATTTGGTTGCAGGCCTGTTCACACACCAGCTTTTCATTTTATGTGCGTTTGGCTGCGTCTGAGCTTCTTAGGTCGAGGTACGACTGCGTTTTACTGGTAGCTTTGCGACCAAGTGCGCGTCGAATAAAATATAAAATTTTGGTTTTACTTCACGTACTGACCTCTAGAACACCGGGCGTAAGAATGCAAAAGGCCCTTGTATACACACACTATGCATCGCGGCCGCTGCATTAGGGTGGAACTTTCCAAGAAGGCAACATGGTCTGGAGTCTCCACTACGACTAAGCTAGCGACGCATGAAAAATGTCCCGTTTTTCAGAGCATAGCAGCACTACTGGCGGTGTTATGAACAGAGGAATTATTACAAGAAAAAAAAAAGAACGACTGAAGGGCTATCAAAGCTACGTTAAGTAATACAAGGACTCTCGACAGAAAATGTTTCGCCGAAATTGCAGCAGCATTACAACAGAAGCTTCTCCTATGAGCATCTGTCCAGGTCGCGGCCAATTTAGGCAATAAAATTATCAACATACTACACAAAAGGTACCTGCAATAGATCAGAGTTGTCACAAAACATGTACTGGAATGAAAACAGCACCATCGCTCGCACTGCGGCCTTTTTCTCTGCAACAGCCAAAAACTGTCCGAAATATATATCAGGGTTATCAGATTAGCCCACATAACGCTAGATAGCAGCAACCGTTACGAAAGCTTCTTGATCGCTCACTGTCTGCATTCTTCAGAGCTTAATAATAATTTTCCAACAAGAACAATGTTGAAAAGGTGACACGGGAAAAAAGCTGTAAAAACAGCTTGCCCAGCCCTGAGCCACCTAAACGAGCAGTCGCGATGCAGGCACCAAAATAATTATACAAAAATAAAACATGACATGTGCACTAAATTCATGAAAAACCAGATACAAGATAGAACTAACGCTATACAAAAGTTGCATATTGATGCAATTTACGCAATAGTGAAAATATACACATAAAGTTAAAGCACCACTGATATAAACGCGAAACAAAACATCAACTGAACAGATTTTAGCGCGTATTGCGGACAATTTGGCTCGAAATAAACATTTGAAATAAATATTAAAAATATGCCTACTAAGCTGGTTAAGGGTATTCGGCAAAGTATATTTTAAACTTTGGTGGCCGTAATTTGTCCTAAGAAAAGGGTACTTACCAAGGTTCTTTAACTTATGTTGGGCATCTATACATTTTATCTGTTAACTTCGCTATGTTTTTAGGGTGATATTGGCATCAATTTGTTTCTATTTTATACTTTGCATATAAACGATATTTACATAAATAAAAAATTTTCATCGCACCGATTGGACTAAAAAGATCATCAATCAAATGTTCTAGTGGCACATGATTGATTGATTGATTGATTGGGGTTTCATGGCGCAAGGACTACTAAGGCCAAAATGCGCCAAGAGTGAAACTATTGCATAAGTTAGGGGTTTGGAAGAACAAAGAGCTGTAGTAGCTGATGATGTAATAAAACTATGTATTTGAGATTGTATAACTATTTACAGGATGAAGATGAGCTCGGATTACTAATTAAAATCATAGTCGGTGTATAAGGCCGGTGTCCTTAAGAAAATTAAATAAGCAAGCATGCGGAATCAGCGACTGATCGCCAAGTAAAATAATTATAGGTGCAGTGGAGTATGTTCTTGATATATTTGCGAAAACTTTTAAAACGATCTTGGTCATACTTCGGGCACTCAAGTAGGATGTGTGTTATTGATAGAGGAAAGTTACAGCGTTCACACTCTGGAGCATTGTCTCCACGCAAAAGATGCCCATGGATGAGACTCGTAGGACCAATCTGTAGCCGGCACGATACCGCCTCATAAAAGCGTTCCCGATGGCGGGCGCTCTCCCACTCACTTAAAATGCAGCATTCAGTTTGTTATGTGTTTTTTTATTACATTCACGTTGCCACTCAGTTCGAATGCAACACTTCAAAGCGATGCGGTAGTCTTTGTATGGTATATTATGTAGGTCTATTTGGTCTCTCATTTGCAGAAGTTGCAGTACTATCGGCCTTTTCATTACCTGGGATGCCGACGTGGCTTGTGACCCAGCAGAAAATGATCTCAATCTGCTTGCACGAGGCAGCGATAACTTTATTCAGTAATTCTCGAACAAGTGGATTTCTAATACGCTTCTGTGATGTAAGTGCTCTTAATGAGCTCAAGGAATCTGTGTAAACAATTGTTTGGCGAAGCCTTTTGTTCGTCGCATAATCAACAGCTAACAGCAGTCCATACAGCTCAGCTGCCAGTATGGTGGCTGCATTGTGGATTCTCTTGACCTGTTTCACAGATGGCCCTATCATAGCGCAGCCGACCACCCAGTTTGTTTTTGTCCCATCTGTATAGAGACCTACGTACTGTTCATATTGATTTTGTAACTGAAAGAATTCCTGCCTCATGACTTCATTTGGTGTATGTTTTTTGGAATGTTTAGCCAGTGTAACATCACAATTAATGATATGATAATCCCATGGGGCTATAGTGGTTAAGCATTGAACTACTGTAGGCCTAGGATCTAGTTCTACAGACCCAGCATAATTCATATTCCTGATTGCAAAAGGAGGAACAACGGCTGGTTTATTTTCAAACGTTCTCTGGAACCTGATGTTTTCGAGGTTATCACGAGTAGGGTGCTGAGGGACAGAGCGAACTCGAATAGAATACATAAACCTAAGAGCAAACCTCCAAGTTTCAAGGCATAGCTCATGAGCTTCTGCACACAGACTAAGTACCGGGGAGGTGCGAAATGCTCCAGTAGCCAATCGCAGTTCCTGGTGGTGAATGGAGTCCAACATCTTTAGGACTGATGCTCAGGCAGAGCCATACACTATGCTCCCATAATCAAGCCTGGAGCGAACAACCGCCAGGTATATTCGTAACAGACATAGTCTATCGGAGCCCCATGATACATGTGATAGAACCTTAAGTGTATTCAGCGATTTGAGACATTCAAGTTTTAAGTTCGTAATATGTGGAACAAAAGTCAATTTCGAATCAAATACGAGTCCCAGAAACTTGTGTTCACTTTTTGTGGCTATTGGTATTCCATACATTTTTAAAGAAGGCTCTTGGAGAACTCTACGCCGGCGAGAAAAGCACACACAGGCAGATTTTTTCTGGCGAAAATTTAAAATCGTTTGTGTCAGCCCATTTTTGTAACTTGTTAATTGCCAGTTGGACCCGACGTTCACATATTGAAGGATTACAGGACGAGACAGAAATTTGAATATCATCTACATATATAGAATATTGCACGGAAGGAGGCATAGCACGGGCAATAGAATGCATCAACAATAAAAGGGTTACGCCAAGGACACCTTCCTGTGGAACTCCATTTTCTTGAAAAAAAACTCCCTGGAAAGGGTTGTTTCCAATCTTACATAAAAAGTGCGACATAGCAAGTAACTTCGAATAGCACCTAGCATTCTACCTCGGACACCAAGACCAAACAAATCCTGCAAAATTCCAAAACGCCAGGCCGTATCATATGCCTTCTCTAAATCAAAAAAGACAGAAAAACAGTGTTGCTCATTTACATATGCCTCCCGCACGGCGGTCCCAAATCGAACCAGGTGATCGAGCGTGGATCGAAACGAACGGAAGCCGCACTGATATTTGTCTGGAAGGTTGCTGTTTTCTAGGTAATACATAAGTCTTTTGTTTATCATTCTCTCCAGTGTTTTTCAGAGACAACTTGTTAGCGCTATCAGTCTGTAACTGAAGCACATGAAGCATCTTTGAGTGGCTTAAGCAAAGGAATGACAGTGGCCACCTTCCAAGACGACGGGAAATGACCGTCCAACGAAACACGGTTGAATAAGTCTAAAATGAGTTCAAGCGTTGAGGGATGTAGGTGGCATAGCATAATATAGTGAATACCATCGGGGCCAAGGACAGTCTGCTTAAGATTACGCAGTATTGCCTCAAGTTTCGTGTAGTGTAAATGGTACATTATAAGGTTCTTGATTGCCTCCTGAGGTACTTACTCATATTTTCTCGGAATGGAGTTTATGCAGAATAAAAGCTGGCGTATGCGGAGGGCAAGTTCGTCTGCTTCTTGCGCAGGGGGTAGCGGTGACGTCAGAACGCCGAGCCCTGATTGGCTGATGGCGACCCCCTATCTGAGCGTCGTCTGCTCGCAACGTCGTCTGCTCGCAATGTCGTCTGCGTCTGTCTCACCTTTCCTGCGACTTTCGGAAGTGCAGAGGCCAGATTCACGAAACGATCTTACGCCAAAAATGTGTGTAAGACAAAACATAAGAACAAATTCGTATTCACGAAACGAAATTTTCGTAAGTTTTGCGCAGGTTACGGCGAAATCCTACGACAGCTCCGAAGCTGTCTTACGCACTTCTTACGATCAAATCAGCATGGCCGACAGCGTCCGTGGGTCGCGACGACCCGCGGACGTTTATTTTTCTACGTGCGCTTCTCACGCGTCCCGACTTCAAGCAGCAAGAAA